TAACCTATAAATTGTCAATATCACGAATAAATCAATTATGGTAAATTGTATCTTAAAAAAAATATAAATCTTTATGTCCTCAAATTTTACATAATATTTCACTTTATCCACGGCATATAAACTTTCAAATATCTGCTCGTCTACTCCTATCCTTTCAAATTTGCCAACTAGAAATATTTTTCAAAGCTTTACACGTTGGGGGCCATTTTGTTATGCTATTTAAATTGTATTCTATTGCTTATTTAGAAAAGATCCTGTCTATATTTATTAAATGATCTAATCTCCAATTAATCACAATAAATCAGCATTAATTAATTACAATCTCAGGCTATTTAACTTGTACTATTTACCTTTGATCGTGGATTCAAAATATTTTCCAATTGGCTTCCTAATTGGGATAGGTAATATGACCTGAATAAAATACACAGAATTTCAACTGAACTATATGTGAGATGTCCTTTATTTTAATGAAATTTTATATAACAATCAATCCTGTAATATTTGCAATATAATACTTTAAATATATATGAGAAGTTGTTTTCTATCATGGACCCAAATGTTATTTTACATTGATTTTTAATATGTGTTATAACTAAGCTCTCTTTATAATTTTTTTCTTTAAATGATCGCAAAATTAACTGTCTCTATTATTTATTCAATTTATTTAATTAATAAATGAAAACCACACTCCTGCTCTAATGAAAATTGACTGACCTTTCGTTCTCTGCCGTTGTAATTCTATGGCCACGCCATAAAAAAAACCTTTCTCTGCTTCTGCTCCTATTGTGGTCCAGATGACGTACACCTTTCTCCTATCTGTCCTTGTATCTGCAACCCAACAACTCGTGTAATTCTATGCAGCCTCCTTTTGAGCGAATCTCCGCGCCTGTTTATAACTTCAAATGTTTCCGGCTTCGTCTGATATTAATATTCTTATACCCTTTGGTTTTTCTATCTCTCTGTACCCCGTTCCTTACACTGATCAGCTTTTACACAGCAAATAAACACACCCGGTAAATTACGTCTTCGGGACTTCAAACAAACACAAACCACAAAGCTCCTTCCTTCTTGGGCGACGAAAACTGACTAACTAACTTTTTTTCTCTCTCCTATCTCATAACCAAAACCACTACCTCCATTGCATTCAAAGTGCTTCAAAGTGCTTCGACTTCACTAAAACCAAAATACTGTGCAAACAAAAAAATTATCATAAGCGTTCTATCCTTGAAATGTGTCAAATTCTTAAACATCCATCATCCCTAAATAAAAGAACCGACATCGACAACTTGAGCCAGATATATCACTCTCTCATCATACACAACAAATAATAATTAAAAAAAAAACACTTACAAGATAGTAACTTCATTCCCCTTCTTCTTTCCCTATTTTCAAAATATTTTTTTTTTTGTAGAAAAAAATATTCCTTTTTGAAAAATAGCTGTCCCCGTTCTGCTTACTAACTTTTTTAATAATTGTACCTCACTGCTTTCCGAAGAAACATATGGACGACACATGCCACATGTGCAAATATGACAGCCTAAAACCGATAGAAAACATTCCAAGAGATTATTGTGTTGGGTCTTCGAAAGAGCTTACACCCACATTGAGATGAAGCCATCGGTAAAAATTAAATAAACAATAGTGCTGTTTCAGTTTTTTCCTGTGTGTTTTTTGTTTCGATTCTATCGTTTAGTTTTTAAATTTTTTAATGTTAAGTTATCGTAGAGTGTTTTTAACATCTTTTACAAAACCTACAAATTGTTTTTGTAAGTATGAACCCTTTTGGTTATTTACTTATATTTTACATCGTTTTATTTTTATTTGTAGTGAACTGATGATGCTTTTGAAAACTAAAAAGCGAAACGTATTCGATTAAATCAATGAAGTAGTTGACGACTTTCATTTGCCTATTATTGACCGATACAACCTCTGCTATTCAACTATTGAATATTTTTTTATATATATATATATATATATATATATATATATATATATATATATATATATATATAATTAAACGTAATTAAATTTTAAAACCTATAAAACCAACAGTTAGCTCTATGATTCTAAGATCCGGCACTATAAAGATGGACAAATAACATTAAAAATGAACAAATATGTAAAGTATTACCTAATTACAATAAAAACATAAAGTATTTTACAAAGTTTCTACTGATATTTATATATTTATTAAGAGACATATTAAATACATTTAGATTTAGGTTGTTCTACAAAGTGGAACATTAAAAGTACATGAGACAAACCATGGTAATATGGTATTTTAAGACCAATCTCACTAACAAGAGAGGGACAGACCCCTCCTCGCACTTAAAGCAAGCAAGCTCATAGACCTCTCCATATGATAGTGTAGTCATGGTCTGCTAATCTAATCCAACTTTGAAAGGCGCACACCTGCAGAAATTTTTACTGAACCCTCTCTAAGGTGATGCGTTGTTAAATCACCACCTACAAATAATTTAATAGGTAATCTAAGTAAGACTGGTTTTGTAATATATAATTTTAGGTTAAATTTATAATTTACTAATTTTATCAGTAAAAGGTCACATATTGGCATAATAGTTCTTACCTGGTGCTGGTAAGAGCAAACTCAGAACGGCTGTTCTCGTAATACCGGTATGACCAATATTAATTATATCTTTCTCTTTAAAATGACTAGCGCCTACACGAAAATTGTGATAAACAGTTTCTGTTGCAGCATTTTCTAATTAGGGCTCTTAATAGCATTCACCCATTTATCAAACATATCCATATAACGTCCTGGGCTTGAAAAACGGTATGGCTTGCCAGTAGTATCCATGCAATCTGCAATACATCTTTTTTGTTCAGTTCTTCGTCTTTACATTGTTATTCCATGTAATGTGTTCAATTCCATAATAAAAAATTGTCTAAAATTGTATCTTTTTTTACTACTTATACAAAAATTTTAAATTATAAAATAAATTATAAAAAATAAAACAAATACAAATATGACGCCGTATTTGTCTAAATTCAACTTTGCTAGGACCGAGACTAGCAGCGCCGCCATACGAATGAGAGCTAAATCCGAACGTGATTTGACATTGCCTATCTCTGTTACCAATCTAGGTGTAATTTTATCTATGGTTAAAAGCTTCAAATGTTTCTTTTTGCAAAAACTCGCAATTGAGTTTTTGAAACTTTGCTGGCTAAAGAAAGAAACATTATTACACAACGACATTTTTTTTACAACACAGGCCGACATGATTTTTGATGTTTTTAGTTTGACATGTGTCCTTAGCTAATACGGGTACGTTGATTTTGAATATAAATTTGTTTTAAACCCATCACGTCAAAATTTTTCACAAAATTAAAAAACCTTGTAATAAAAAGATATTAGGTACTAGCGGAAACAAATATGTTACAAATATGTTATTTAAAAACACTCATTGCTCATAAAACATACACAAACAACACATCACAGCAATATATATATATATATATATATATATATATATATATATATATATATATATATATATAAAATTAATGTTTCTTGGGTTTAGGTTCGGTAAGGATATATTACATGTGGAACTAGATTTTATTTTCCATAGCAGTCAATCAACGTTTCGGCAGGAAACCCTTGCCTTTGTCAAGATTCTAAAATGTATATGTATAAGGACAAACAGATTTTGTAATATATATATATATATATATATATATATATTATATATATATATATATATATATATATATATATATATATATATGACTTACCAAAACGTAAAACGTGACACAGATATTAACGAACTGACAAATAAAAGTTGATATCTAATATCTCATTGTTAACTGTCATTACTATATAATTATTTTTATATAGGCGTATCATTGGTGTTTTCGAAAAAGGGTAAGGTTGAGATATGTTATGACTTTAAGAACTTTTTATGATGTTATATTATTATTGTTTAAATCAGGTTGAAATATATTTTATTTAGGTTTTGTTTATCTTTTTTGTCATTTATTGCGTTGGAGTTTTTTTAATTTCTATTGATTCGTATATTTCCCTCTTCTTTTTGTTTTGTTCGGTTTTCAAAATTTTGATGTTTTCAAAATCAAATTTATGATTCTTCCCGGTTTCATCTTTTGTGAGCGCAGTGAGTTTTTCAGTTTTTTAATTGTTTGTCCTTATACATATACATTTTAGAATCTTGACAAAGGCAAGGGTTTCCTGCCGAGAGGTTGATTGAGTGCTATGGAAAATAAAATCTAGTTCCACATATAATATATCTTTATTGAACGTAAACCCAAGAAACATTAATTTTATATTGAATATAATACGGTTCAAGAAACTTAGAACTACAATATATATATATATATATATATATATATATATATATATATATATATATATATATATATATATATATACAGAAATGTAGCCATAAGTACCCTTTGAACTGGAGCAGATCTTACAGTCAGCAAATTACATTGCCACTTAGACAACAAATTCTTTTTTTTTACATTTCTGTAATTCATTTGATTATGAATATACTTATAAATATAAATAAACTTTGTACAACTTCGAAAATAAATAGTCTTTTAAAAGTTCAATCAAAAGTGCATAAATTTATCTAGCACCCCATCATCCAAAAAAGTCGCAGAGGGAAACCGTGTCAGAATTGTCTTAATGAAGGCGATACTCAAAGTTTGGAGAGAGTAACTATTATACTTTTTTGTCGACAGGCACACTAACTATTATTATACAAATACTTCAGTTTAATTTTCCAACTTGGTGAGAGTCATGGCCACAAGCGATCATGCTACAATGAACCGGGAACTCTATAATAAATAGTTTTGCAATTAAATATGTAAACAGGAATGATAATACTCGTGATAGTAATTATCTAATATTAAAATATCTTCTTTCACCTAGAAATTAACCATTAAAATTAATTAGGAAAGTTTCACTTAACCACTCCCTTTTATTGCACCACCTAAATATTTAACGTATAGTATTCTAATACCTTTAACTGCGGAGACAATATCATTGTCAACGTTGGAATTTCTTCTAGTTAAATTATTTTTAAAGCCTTTCATCTTTTTTGATATTAGCTAAAAGAATACAATACGTATTATTGTCGTTAGTACCATTTGGACCGTAAAACTTACAGCATATAAGAAGGCATGAAATGTGTCACGTGCTTTACAATACTCTCTGCTCATTGGATACAATCTCCAAGTAAATTTCAATTGATGCCAGACATGCATCATCCTTATACTTATTATTTCCATTGCTCTAAAAAAAAAATAAAAACAAACAAATATGTTATTACCAGTCATGGTTAAAATCAGCATTTGACTATTTACGTGCTTAGTTAAAGTCAAGGGATTCATACGGAAATTTTTCATTTTGCATAATGAGAACAATAATAGAGTATACGTTGATCTAAACGATTGTAACCACTGTTCAATTTAACCACTGATTTTTAACTATCCTTATATCACAATTTTACAATGATTATCTTAGTCCAACCCTTAAATCCTCTCTACTCACATTTTAAACCCTATCCAGTACAAAAACATACAGTTTTTAAGATAGCAAAGAAGAAACGATCTCTCTTGATCTGACTACCGCCAAGGTGAGTCGTGCCTTTTTGGATTCTCGGCTACCGCTAAAGACAGTGACTCTGTCTCTCTTTCTTTGATTATCAAGAAGAGCAGCATCTATCTTGGCTGTTTTCTATCGCAATTACCTCTTTCCCGCCTTAGTTACGCGAGTAATACCGAAAATACTGTTTTAAATCGTGTACAGACAAAGTGTGCTCTATCTCGCAAAGTGTAGTACCGCCAAAACACGTGTTTAGAAAAACCGCGAGTGTGCCCGGACATATTCCGCATAAGAAAAGAAAAACCGCGAGTGTGTGGAGCAGAAAAAAATTGGTAAGACTTTCTATAAACTTAATTTGCTATTGTCTGTATACCTTTTACTACATATCCTAATTTATTTGAACCAGCCCTATATAATACAGTCCACATACACTGAAATTATACTAATAATTTCCCACATATGTACACCCTTTTTGTACATATTTTGGTCTCATTCAAGCCGGATATTAACCATAATCTCTCTCTCTATCTCTTTGTCTCATATCTTGATTCTACATAGTGTTTTACACTTTTGAGTCATATGTAAATCCTTACTATCTCTCTGTTTTATCTCATGCTTGATTGAACATATTTTGATCCAATTCGGATCAAAATTTTTATCCACTGTTAATCTCATCTAGATTTAATCCTTCGAAGTTATATATTTCTATATATGTGTATATGCTTCTTGATATAATGTATATGTACACGTATGTATTTGTAAATCAATATATTGATAAATCGTTGTTTAATAATTCTTTCCTGTGGAAATTTTCAATTTTGTAATTTCTATTGTTTTATAGCGTTAGAAAGTCAGGTAGAAGATTACCCAAGTAGATATCTGTGACGTAGTAAAAATTCAACCCATTGGTCAAGTAAAAATTGTATTGTTCTGCCTCACGTTTCTTCTTAGGTACGTGTTACAAGTAAAAATTTGGGGATCTGGTCCTAGGTTCTGAATAATAAACTTTTACAAGAATTCTATTATTCTGGATAATCCTCAGTATAATAATTGCTTCATTCAAATCGCTTAGTGACACATACTGAATTTTTACAATAATCTCTGCTCTTAGAAAATAATTGCGTTATAGGTAGTTGCTTTATTAAATCAATGAAAATTGTCTCTATCAGTGTTTATTGAATTAAATTCACGATATCAAATATAATTTTCACACAATAAAAAACGAAATTGATAATATCATTACACTCTTATACTTCTCTCTCTGCTCTTTGTACTCCTTTCAATGGTCGCTAGTTTTTATTCTCCTTATCATTCATCTCTGTCTGGTACACTCTTATTATATTCTATTTAACTATAATATACTCCAATTAAAAATGGCAGAAATTGCAGAATATTTTTATGCGATGCACATTTCACAAGCAAATATCGCTAGAATTGCGAAAGTTGTTAGTTCTAATGAACAAGGCCTCTCTAATTGTAGAATCAGAGAATATATTGCTCAGCTTAGGGCAGCTTATAATTCATATTTGGATGCTTTGGAAAACCTGGCTGACGACGAAACTATACTCGAAAGTAAAGAAGCAGATATTACTTATGAAAAATATATGGATGCTTTATGTTTCTTAGAAGAAAAACTAGATAGAAGCTAAACTAGCCTTTAAATTTGATACAAAATTTAAGGCGAACACTTCCAGTAAACACATTGTTAAAAGTACTGATTTGAATATAAATGGCCAAAAAGAAGTTGAAAATACATTTTACTCCGACTCTCTCCCAAATCAGTTCAAACAGATAAAGAAATAAATATAAGTACTTCATTTAATTCTGCAATTGTTCAAGCTCAGACGCAAGAGCTTGAAAAGCCGACTTACTTTAAATAACATTAGTTCTCAAGACGTAATAGGCCTTTCTCTCTTAAAAATGTGTTACCAGCACAAACAGTCACTTTTCAAACTACTCCAGAACAAAATGCGATTACTGAAACTGTAATATCTGCATCGCCTGTGCTTCTTAATATTTCTTCCCCACAAATATTGCAAGAATCCAATACTTTAGTTTCAACTCAAGCTCTACATACACAAAATGTTTTAGTTTCTGCTCCGATTCTGACAACTGTCAATTTGTCTCCATTAGTTATTTAAAACTTAACTCCAGTACCGCCTTCTTGCTGTGTACCAAACGAATTGGCAAATATACCTTATACAACCTGTATACAAACCCAAGATATCTCTCAACCTAAAACTTTAAATGCTCTAAATATACGACAGGTTAATAAACTCTCTATTCAAGCTCAGAGTATATCCACTCTCACTTTGTTACATTTGAATAAAATTCCAACATAAAAATCTATCGACTTTGCAACACCTTGTAAAGAAGGTGATGTACATGCCGATTTTTTGAAAATCATCTCTCCTCCGAATAAGTCCATACCTCCTCCACTAATACACGAAAATCAAATACTCCTCTCACAGCCTCGTACTGACATGGCTGTCATCAAAGTTCTCTCAAAACAAACTGTTCTTACTTATACCACCCTACAATCTAATTCATTAGATTTAATCAAACCTTTATTTTCTTCTGTTACTGTGACCCTACCATTAATAGAGAGCAAGTCACAACAACTCATGCAGTATTCGACAATATTCCGGTTTTGATGGCTCAGTCTGTCTTGCCGCCTCTTGATATAGAGAACGTCAATCTAACGTGCCCTTCTCCGTTGTTTACTGTCCCTCAGGTTCAAACTTTTGCTAATCAAAACGACGTTTTAAAGTATGAGAGACTCAGTGGCCTCTCATACTTTAAAACGTTCTGCAAATATCGACAATATCTTGACCGGTGCCAATAACTTAAAAAGGATACACATACTTTATTCTCAACTATCCTCGCTTCTAAAAACTCACAGTTTCCAATTCGATAAAATATATTCAAGTTCTCGTGCCTTTTCAAATGAATTTAATAATCTGATATCCACTTCAGAAGTCAATCTTGACTTAGTTAACAGTTTCTCTAAGGTCTTAGGTATTAACAGGTCACCTTATCAAGACGATTTCTCTTTTAAGTTGCCTGTTTGCGAAAAGGCGCCTCCCTTAACAAAAAGAAAATTATGTGCCTATGTGTCTCGAATGTATAACTCCTTAGGAAAACTCTTATCTTTTAGAGTACACTCTAAATCTTTCTTACAACGCCTCTGGTCATTGCCCTTAGACTGGGACAATGATATATTAGATGACATATTGATCTCGGATTGGAAATCATTATTGGATACATTCCAATCAATATATACAATTTCATTTCCCATATGCCTGACGCTTCCACTGCTTGTATCGCACATGCTACTACGACAAAGTAGGAGTAAGTGGAACATCGCTACTGATCTTTTAAAGATAGGTGATGTGGTAGTAATCAAAGATGAAGAGACTTCCCCACTCCTCTGGCCTCTGGCAAAATTAATCGAATTGCTTCCAGGCAAGGATTCTCTTGCTCAAACAGGTGTATCCACACCTAATTGCGAATACCTTAGGTTTATAAAGAAAGCTAGGTTACCCTTTAACCAATAGTGGCGCTTTCAGCCAAATATATAGCTTCTTATTTCTATAAGGTAGTCTTTAGTTTCACTAGATTTTAAATAATTCTTAGTTATCTTAGTTTTTTACAACAATTTACCTAATCTATACCGGTTTACCCTTAATCTCGAAGTAACTATTTGATACCCTATTTCAGTGGCGTAACTCTTCTCGCCCGCCCCCAGTATGTTCAATTTTTTCACATGCGAAAAATCATGTCATTTTTTCGCTGTATTATTAACTATCCTTATATCACAATTTTACAATATTTATCTTAGTCCAACCCTTAAATCCTCTCTACTCACATTTTAACCCCTCTCCAGTACAAAAACACACAGTTTTTAAGATAGCAAAGAAGAAACGATCTCTCTTGATCTGACTACCGCCAAGGTGAGTCGTGCCTTTTTGGATTCTCGGCTACCGCTAAAGACAGTCATTCTGTGTAAAATTAGGATATGTAGTAAAAGGTATACAGACAATAGCAAATTAAGTTTATAGAAAGTCTTACCAATATTTTTCTGCTCCACACACTCGCGGTTTTCCTTTTCTTATGCGGAATATGTCCGGGCACACTCGCGGTTTTGCTTAACACGTGTTTCGCGGTACTAACACTTTGCGAGTTAGAGCACACTTTGTCTGTACACGATTTAAAACAGTATTTTCGGTATTTCTCGCGTAACTAAGGCGGGAAAGAGGTAATTGCGATAGAAAACAGCCAAGATAGATGCTGTTGTTCTTGATAATCGAAGAGAGAGAGAGAGAGAGAGAGAGAGACAGAATGACTGTCTTTAGCGGTAGCCGATAATCCAAAAAGGCACGACTCACCTTGCCGGTAGTCAGATCAAGAGAGATCGTTTCTTTTTTGCTATCTTAAAAACTGTGTGTCTTTGTACTGGAGAGGGGTTAAAATGTGAGTAGGGAGGATTCAAGGGTTGGACTAAGATAATTATTGTAAAATTGTGATATAATGATAGTTAAAAATACACCGAAAAAATGACATAATTTTTCGCATGTGAAAAAATTGAACAACCACAATGTTTATGTCATGTTTAAAAATGATGAACTTACTTATCCATGGCATTAATAAATTCCAGTTGCTTTGTGGTTTGTACATTCATATTTGTTCCAAGCGCTGTTTCTAAAACATAAACAAATAAGCTTATAGATCAGGCGCAATCTGTTTTGGGTTGGGTAAATCGTATATGAAAAGAAAATGGTACAATATCTCGTTATATCCGCACATGCTCTGACAGAAGGTAAAGACAAATATATTAAAGATTACTTCTATCAACAATTCAAAAGAACGCTTGAGAAAATCCCCAAACAAGACATGCAGATAATCTGTGCAGACTATAACGCAAAAATTGGCAAAGAACCGATCGAACTAAGACTGACAATAGACAACACAACCTACACGATATCTTAAAAGATAATGGGCAAAGGACATCGGCTAACAATATGCTTGTAAAGTCTACTATGTTCCAACATAAAAACATTCATGAACAGACTTGGGTCTCTAATGACTACTCTACGCGAAACCAAATTGACCACATAATTATTATTGATGCTAGACATGAAAGTAATGTGCTGGACGTAAGAAGCCTTAGGGGAGTAGATGGATATACAGACCATAACCTAGTAAAAGCAAAAATCAGGTTGAGAATATCTTCAAAAAAACCTAAGGCCAACGAAGCATTGGGACAGTGGAACGTCCAGAAAATGTAAAATGAGGAAATTCAAGAAAATTACAAACAAAAAATTAAACAGCATCTATATACAGTAGACCAGAGCAATGATGTCGAAAGGCTGTGGCAACAAATGAAAAAATAATTAATTACGGAGTCAGCAGAACTAATAATAGGAAAAAGAAGAAAGGGAACAAGGAAATGGTTTGATAGAGAATGTCTAGAAAAGCTAAACGACACACAGATAAAGCCAAACATTATGCTTCAATAAGGAACAGCAGAAAATAAAGAAAACTTTGCAACTTTACGCCGAGAAAGAAGAAAATTAATTAGAGAGAAAAAAAAAGTACGAACAACAATAATATGAGGAAATAGAAAGGAATAGGCAACAGTCAAATAGTCGAGCATTTTACAAATCAGTGTCCAATGAAAAGAAAGGCTTCAGACCTAGATGTCTGTCTGTACTCAGAAAAAATGATAAATTGATAATAAATGAAAAACAACTGCTCCAAACATGGCCAGAATATTTCAAGACTTTACTAGACATATATCAAGAGGAAGAACATGGAGAAAATATATATTTTGTGGTGGACCTAGCGGGAGAGGACTCCAAAATAGATGAAACATTGCAAGCAATTAACAAATTGAAGAACGGAAAAGGTCCAGGCCCTGACAATATTTTGACTGAATTCCTTAAATACGAAGGAGAAACTCTACATATACAAATACACAAACAAATAACACTTATATGGAACGAAGAGGTAAAATACCAATAAAATGGCACGGAAGTGTAATAATCCCCATCCATAAAAAGGAAGACAAAACCAAGTGCTCTAATTATAGAGGAATCTCCCTACTTAATAAGGCATATAAAATCTTCGAACATCCTATTAATTAGGCTGACACCGTTTGTAGAAAATTTCATGGGGAATACCGAGCCGGCTTTAGAAAACATAGATCGACCATAGATTAGATCTTTACTCTAAGCCAGCTACTTGAAAAAGGATGGGAATTTAATATAACTATCCATAATATATTCATAGATTTTCGGCAAGCCTACGACAGCATTCAAAGGAATCAGATGTGGAATTCAATGGCAGAAATTTTAGTTCCAATAAAACTTATCCAGCTTGTTAAGTTATGTGTGAATAGCTGTAGATCCAGGGTACGGATAGATAACAAACTCTTAGAATCTTTCGAAATAAGCAGTGGCCTGAAACAAGGAGATGCGCTGTCACCTCTCTTTTTAAAATTATCCTGGAGATAGTAGTAAGAGCAACAGAACTTAAAACATAATTTCTGTCAGTAAATGGACCAAAATTACTATTAGCATACGCAGATGACATTGACATTGTGGGAAACAGAGTAACCGATGTGAAGGAGACTTTTAATAAATTGGAAGTAGAGGCAACGAAAACTGGTTTAAGGGTAAATGAAGAGAAAACCAAATACATGTGCATCAATATACAAAAGGGACGAGATAGAATAGGGCAAAATGTTACAATAGACCCATATAACTTTGAAAGAGTTCAGAGTTTTAAATATCTCGGAGCAACAATCACTGCAAATAACGATATCGCAGAAGAGATTAAAGGAAGAATACAGGCAGCAAACAGATGTATGTACATCCTCCATAATACTATTAAATCTAAATGCCTAACACGAACATCAAAGATTAGAATATATAAAACGGTGATTAGATCGGTGCTCATGTATGGGTGTGGGACGTGAACCCTGATCAAAGAAACTGATAGAAAACTTGAGAGGAATGTTTTGAGAGGAAAAGCCTCAGAAGAATCTTTGGGCCTTATCACGACATTAATAGCAACTAATACCGAATAAGAAAAAATGCTAAGGTCAAGATGTATAGATATACCATATACCATATACCAGTATATACCAGAGTATATATATATATATACTCTGGTAACTATTTTTCCCATAATTGCCTTAGTAGTCGGTGCGTTTTGATTTGGTTTGAGTCTTCTTACAAACTCTTTCTGATAGGTAGACCCAGAAACACGTGACACGGAGTGGTAAGAGACTCAAATTAAATCGAAACGCAACCGTCATTTATTTTGTTATTGTCCTTACTCGACGCAATGAGTACAAAAATGATAGTAGTTTATATGGGTAAATTGTTGATGCATAGTGGAATTTTAATATTCTCAGCATCGCTCTGAATGGCTTGATTAAGCTTGGGTTATACAGTTTACTTTAATTGCTATCGATATTTAACTTCATGTTTCCTCACTAGAGGCCTCTAGTAGCATACTCTGGTAATTATTTTTACTATAATTGCCTTAGTAGTCGGTGCGTTTTGATTTGGTTTGAGTCTTCTTACAAACTCCTTCTGATGACGGGTAGACCCAGAAACACGTGTCAGGGAGTGGTAAGAGACTCAAATTAAATCGAAACGCAACCGTCATTTATTTTGTTATTGTCCTTACTCGACGCAATGAGTACAAAAATGATAGTAGTTTATATGGGTAAATTGTTGATGCATAGTGGAATTTTAATATTCTCAGCATCGCTCTGAATGGCTTGATTAAGCTTGGGTTATACAGTTTACTTTAATTGCTATCGATATTTAACTTCATGTTTCCTCACTAGAGGCCTCTAGTAGCATACTCTGGTAATTATTTTTACTATAATTGCCTTAGTAGTCGGTGCGTTTTGATTTGGTTTGAGTCTTCTTACAAACTCCTTCTGATGACGGATAGACCCAGAAACACGTGTCAGGGAGTGGTAAGAGACTCAAATTAAATCGAAACGCAACCGTCATTTATTTTGTTATTGTCCTTACTCGACGCAATGAGTACAAAAATGATAGTAGTTTATATGGGTAAATTGTTGATGCATAGTGGAATTTTAATATTCTCAGCATCGCTCTGAATGGCTTGATTAAGCTTGGGTTATACAGTTTACTTTAATTGCTATCGATATTTAACTTCATGTTTCCTCACTAGAGGCCTCTAGTAGCATACTCTGGTAACTATTTTTACTATAATTGCCTTAGTAGTCGGTGCGTTTTGATTTGGTTTGAGTCTTCTTACAAACTCCTTCTGATGACGGGTAGACCCAGAAACACGTGTCAGGGAGTGGTAAGAGACTCAAATTAAATCGAAACGCAACCGTCATTTATTTTTTTATACATACCTTTTATAAAGGATTTTATTAAATTTTGTGTGATACATGGTATACAGCCATCTTATGTATGACTAACATCATATATTATGGTTTCGTATGCAATCCATCTAAATTGGTATAAATCCTTAAAATCAATAAAAATGGTTTTTAATGCATTCAATTTATTTTAGTTACACCGTTTTTAGAAAAATTATCATTTGACTTTTGTTTTCAGAATGGATCCTGGGAAGTTTTATTGCCCATCTAAATACATTAACTGTATTCCTGGTGATGGTGAAATAAGTGAAGGCGAATTAGGTTTAGAGTCCGATAATGAGTATACGCCTCGTCGTCAGTCACTGGTATAAATAGAATTGTCAACAAAATAAAGAAACCTGAAAATTGTTTATGGAAATCAAGCTACTTGAATCATTTTAATAAAAGTGATTATTCATTTAAAGGCGTTGTAGAGCTATCAGAATGTATTCTTGAGTTAGAAACTCCTGCAGATTTTTGCTTGTTTTTGTTTCCAAAATAATTAATATCCATGATTGTTGAACAATCAAACATAAACGCTCTGCCGGATAATACAAACAAAGCTGCCAATATTACCTGTAATATTTATGTTATTGGTGAAATTACCATCATCGAGACTTCAATGGAATGAAACTGTAGGTAAGCCATAAGTATTTAAATCTAGGGTCTGCAATAGATGGGAAATTATAATGAAACAGATTCATTTTAGTGATAATAGTAACTCCGTTTCTGCTGGTAATCCAGGTCATGAGAAATAGTTCAAAATTCGACCTCTAAGACAAAATTAAACAACTCCTTTAACTGGTTTCCAAGGAGGAAGATCTAGCTGTTGACGAACAAATTATTCCGAATTATATGAAATGTCGGCACTATCTCAAACAATAGAATCCAGCAAAAACTCACAAGTGGAGCTACAAAAATTAAGTACTAAGTGGCGTATCCGGTTTTAGTTATGAGTTTAATATTTTTGCTGGTGAACAAAGCAATACTTTTCTAAATGGAGCGCCTGATTTTGGAATCAGTGAAAATGTTGTCACTAGATTGACAGAGACAGTGCCGAAGAACGTTAATCATAAAATATTTTTCGATAACTTTAGATACAGTTCAAATAAACTGTGTTCCGAATTCAGGAATCTCAGTAAATATGTTCACTACCAACTTACGTTGGTACTGAACCTAGAACCACAAAACGTAGCTACTTCCGAAAAGAAACAACGTATAAATATATCTCCTGCTCTCAATCAGTTGAAGTTAATAATTAGCTCATTAGGAGAGTTTACTTATTAGA